GAACATAACCAGAGAATGGAAAACAAACTTTATCACATAATTTAAGTTTTTGAAGACAACAGCAAACTAACATTTAGAGTTCAGCATGATTTCCCCTATATCCCCTGATATGTCACTGCAAAAAAAATATATATACGTATATATTATTACTTACTACTAATGCAACAGCGGAAGTTAGCAAGGTGTAGTTATAAAAAGGTGTGGCTGATAAAAGTCAAACATGAAGTGGTAAAAGTATACAGTATTAGTGATAAGGGATGTGTGTGTGGTGGTGGTGATGTTTCATGTGTCTGGAGTTGCAAACAGGAGAAATCTCCCATCTAATGAGGCCAAATGAAGAGGGAGGGATGGGAGGCTGGAGTAATTAGTCAGTCTCAGAAGGGAAGAAAAAGGTTCAATTCCTCTGATCACGAGGCCCTTTACCATGGCAAAGAACCCCCTTGAAAGGGAAATACAGGGAAAAAATTAAAGAAAATCAAATCAAATCTGAAAACAAAGTTTGTATAACTATTTCTAAGTTCACTTTACAATCTTCTAAGAAAAAAAATCTATTTTTAATTTCTTAATAAAATACTGCCCTCACTGGTTCCTCAACTGTGCACAGTTTAAGGGTTAGGAATAAAGGATACCTTCATAGAAGATAGTGAAAAACTACAAAACGTAAAGAACAACACAATATTTAATAGTGATAAATTACAGTGACCCTTCATTTTTGTCGATCTCTGTTATTGCCAATTTCTTTTTCGGCCGACTTTTTTCCATCAATTTTTTGGTTCCGTTCTCATCAGTTACCTCCATTTTCATCAATCGTATAGAACTTGTCCAGTGCCCAGTGTGCAGACAAAGCCACCTCACACACGCATTCTTAGCCAGTGTAGCATTGCTTCTTGGCGAGTGAACATATCCTGCTAGGTCATACAAAACATTTCGTAATAATCCATTGTTTTCGACACTTGTTTATTGTGTGAGACTGCTAAATAAGCCATCTTGGGCCCGAAGAAAGTTTCTAGTGCCAGTGCTTTGGTAAAGAATGTGAGAAACATGATATAATTCAAGAAAAAGTTTGTAGAAAAATATGAAAGTGGTGGTGGTAGAAGGTGCTAGTGGTGGGGTAGAGGGTAGTAGTGGTTGTGATGGTGGTAGAGGGTACCTTCTCCAGTGATTCAGCGATTCTACTAACTCCTCCCATGTTGTTGGAGTTATACAGGACTACAGAAAACATTGCCACTTCAGCTGCAGCCTTTATCAACATTACGTACGGCTTATGCTCATAGTGGCCCTTACATACTCAACAACAACAACAACAACAGAACACCTGTTGTTACATACATAATGACTTATTTTATTCATTCTAGAGCAAATGTCATGTTTCTATGTTATTAATATTGTTTATTATGTCATATTAGTTGAATTGTGATATATAAGCCATAGAGTTGATATTAGTGTCATTTCTCCAACAATAAACTCGCCTCTCTCTTCCCTCCACCCAGTCTGCCATACACCAACAAGTCTTTTCAATAAAGGTAAGTGTGATGTTAAATTTTCAATTATACATTTTATTAGTGCTTCATATTTATTGGTCATTCTTTTCTGCATGTAAATCTATATTTAAGCTAGGGAAGTGGTTAGGGAAGTGACCCCTGATAAGGACTTGGTACCTAGAGTCTTTATGGAGGAGGACTCCCCTTCCAAACAATAACCTCTCTTCCCTCTCCCCTCCTCCCTGTCTTCCATCCATCAACAACAGCCTTCAATAAAGGTAAGTGTCATGTGTAATGTTCATTCTTTTGTGCATGTAAATCTATCTTTAAAGTAAAAAAAAATTTTGTTGATACTTCAGGGTGCCTGGAACAGATTAATTCCATTTACATTATTTCTTATGGGAAAAATGGTCTTGGTTTTGGCCGATAGCTCTGGAATGGATTAACCCTTTGACTGTTTACGTCGTGTATATACGTTTTACGCGCCACTGTTTCTGACGTATTAATACACGTAAATTCTAGCGGCTTCAAATCAAGCAGGAGAAAGCTGGTAGGCCCACATGTGAGAGAATGGGTCTGTGTGGTCAGTGTGCACCACATAAAAAAAATCCTGCAGTATGCAGTGCATGAGAAAAAAAAAACTCTGACCGCTTTTTGGAATAAAACACTGAATTTGAGGTGTACTTTCGTATAGTATTTATCGTTGTATTCTCGTTTTCATGGTCTCAGGTGATAAAATGGAAAACATATTACAGAAATAGAGATGATTTTCATTACTTTCACAATGAAAATGACCTTGAAATTGAGCTCAAAATAGCGGAAATGTTCAATTTTTACCATTGTTCAGCAATAAGCAAATCACGCCACACGTCCAATACACGTCAACTCGGGAATCTAATATTCTTTCACTAGTGCACTGATATTATTTATACCATTTATACAATAATACAGTAGTCTGCATAACAGCAAATTTTGTATTTTTTTGTATGAATAAAAAATCAAAATAGAAAGCAATAGTAATATAAGATGGGCCTAGAGACGTGACTAATGAACAGAGGATATGTTATTTTAGTGCCAAGAATGTCTACATTGTTTATTCTGGACCCCATTTTGAAATTGGCATCTTTTTTTAATTTGCATGAAATTGGCCAAATTGCCAATTTCTGACCACTTTACTGGGTAGTTCAAATCATTAAGTGGGTGATTTCTTGTACTCAACTGATAGAAAAAAATGGAGTTCTAAAGAAATACACAGTTATGAGTTTGGTCAACTGGAACAACGGAATTGGCCAAAAACAGGGCTCAAAGTCGGTGAAATTGCCGATGCGTATGTCGCCGAGACCGCTAACTTCGCGGGAGCGTAATTCCATGAGTTTTCGACCAAATTTCGTACTTTTGGTGTCATTACCATCATAAGAAAAAAAAATTTTTTCCAAAACTTTTGCGACATAGAATGACAGTTTCAGAAAGGGGCTTGCGACAGTCAAAGGGTTAAACATGAAAACTGAGGGTCCACTGTATAACTTCCCAGTAAAAGTAGGTCTTAGACAGGGATGTGTAATGTCACCATGGTTGTTTAACATATTTATAGATGGGGTTGTAAAAGAAGTAAATGCTAGGGTGTTGGGGAGAGGGGTGGGATTAAATTATGGAGAATCAAATACAAAATGGGAGTTGACAGTTACATTTTGCTGATGATACAGTGCTTTTGGGGGATTCTGAAGAAAAGTTGCAAAGGTTAGTGGACGAGTTTGGGAGGGTGTGTAAAAGTAGAAAGTTGAAAGTGAATATAGATAAGAGTAAGGTGATGAGGATATCAAACAATTTAGATAAAGAAAAATTGGATATCACATTGAAGGGAGGGAGTATAGAAGAAGTGAATGTTTTCAGATATTTGGGAGTTGACGTGTCAGCAGATGGGTTTATAGAGAATGAGGTAAACCACAGAATTATTGAAGAAAAAAAGGTGAGTGGTGCATTGAGGTATCTGTGGAGACAAAGAACATTATCCATGGAGGCAGTGGCATGCAGAGGTCTGGTGATGCCTGGGGCCAACTCCTGGGCTGTATGCCCCAAAGACTAAAGTATAAGGCCTAGTACTGAGAAATATTATGAGAAAGGGAGATATTTTGAATTTGTAAACAGAGATGAAACATGAAATAAACACTTCATTCGATTTAAATATAAATGAACCAAATTTATTAAGTTCTTTTCCCTAAATGATACCTCCTGTCAGAAAACAGTTGAACTACACTTTTTACATCAGCTGTGAGAATTTTTTTTCAATGCTTATTAAAGCCAGGTTGGTCAGTCACTCCTGTGACATTCAAGACCTCAAATATAATTTTATTAATTTCAGTTTTGAAAATGACCTTTCACAACTTGCGACTGAAAATGCGATTGTAAGCAGTAATCTGTACGAAACACACGGTGTCGGAAAGACATCCCTCCCATACTGCAGTAAAGACTCCAGAGCATCTTTAGAATCAGGAGGAATTCTATTTCCTCCAGCTCAAAGGAGCATCACAAAATCAATAATTTCGTCAAATAACTGAATGGCTGCCACATCATTATCATAATTTGCAAAGTCTGAACATTCCTCTTTTAATTTCTCTCTTTCTTGTTCATCTTCAATTAAGAGGCACCATTTTCTCTGGACAGAAAGGGTACACCATGTTAAAGGAATAAAGGGCTAACCACTGCCTCTGTAGCGCAGTGAGCCTCCAAAAACTGATTTATCACCGCTAAAATTTTAAAATCACTATCTTATGTCCCTCTCTAATTGGATGCCCTCCCCCCCATTTGGATGCCCTCCCCCCCATTTGGATGCCCTCCACCCCCATTTGGATGCCCGGGGCCACTGCCCTATCGGTCCCTCCCCTCTGCATGCCACTGCATGGAGGCAAAAAAGGGAATGTATGAAAGTATAGTGGTACCAACACTCTAATATGGGTGTGAAGCATGGGTTGTAAATGCTGCAGTGAGGAGGCGACCGGAGGCAGTGGAGATGTTGTGTCTAAGGGCAATGTGTGGTGTAAATATTATGCAGAGAATTAACCCTTTCAGGGTCCGTCCCGTAGATCAACGGCTTTACGTTCAGGGTCCAAACCGTAGATCTACGTCATGAGCTCAGCTCACTCTGATAAACTGTGAGTGGTAAATTTGGGCCTAGATATGAGAGAATACATCTATGTGGTATGTGTGCACCACATAAAACAAATCCTGCAGCACACTGTGTATAATGAGAGAAAAAAACTGAGACCATGATTTTCGATTAACCCTTTGACTGTCGAAGGGCCCAATCCTGAAGTTGCTCCTGGTGTCGCAAAATATTCGAAAAAAAGAAAATTATTTTTTCTTATGAAATGATAGAGAATCTTTTCCCGATTGTAAAGACACCAAAAAAACGAAATTTGATGGAAAACTGACAGAATTACGCTCTCGCGAAGTTAGCGACTTCGGCGATATTTAAAAATCGGCAATTTCGCCCACTTTGAGCCCTATTTTCGGCTAATTCCGTTATTCCAGTCAACCAAACTCATAACTATTTCTTCAGAACTCTATTTTTTCTATCGATTGAGCACAAGAAACTGCCCATTTACCGATTTCAACTACCCAATAACATGGTCAGAAATTTGCAATTTGGCCAATTTCACGAAAATTAAAAAATACGACAATTTCAAAATAAGGTCCAGAATGAACAATGCAGACATTCCTGGCTCTAAAATAAGATTTTCTTTGTTCATCAGTCATGTCTCCAGGTCCCTGTGATATTACTCTTGCTTTTTATTTTGAAATTTTATTCAAACAAAAAATAGAAGATTTACTGTTATGCAGAGTACTGCAATACTGTAATAATTGTAAAAATTACATCAACCCATTCATGACTGCGTATTAGAATGGCTATTTGGACATTTATTGGACAATGACATCATTTGTTTACTTTTGAACATCGGCAAAAATCAAACATTTCCTGTACTTTGTGCTCAATTTCCAGGTTCTTTTTATAGTAAAATTAATCAAAATCACCTCCATTTCTATAATATAGTTTCCATTCTATCAAATGAGACCATGAAAACGAGAATACAACCACAAATACTATACGAAAATAGACCACAAAGTCGGCATTTTAATTAAAAAAAACGGTCGGAGTTTTTTTTTTCTCATTATGCACTGCGTGCTCCAGGATTTTTTTTATGTGGTGCACACTGACCACACAGACCCATTCTCTCACATGTGGGCCTACTAGCTTTCTCCTGCCTGATTTGAAGCCGCTAGAATTTATGAGTATATATACGTCAAACACGGTACCTCACAAACGTATATATACGGCCGCGACAGTCAAAGGGTTAAAACAGCGACTTTGCAGTGTTTTTTCGTATGTTTTTTATAGTTGTATTTGTGATTTCTTGGTCTCATTTGATAGAATGGAAGACATATTACAGAAATAGAGATGATTTTGATTGGTGTTAGCACTGGAAATGGCTTGAAATTGAGCTCAAAGTGGCGGAAATGTTAAATTTTTGCCGATGTTCAAGAGTAAACAAATGACCTCACACGTCTAATACACGCCAGCTGGTGGGTCTAATATACATTCACAAATGTGGTGATGATATTTATACAATTATTACAATATTGCATAACAGTAAATCTTCTATTTTTTGGTGTGAATAAATTGGAACATTTTGAACTTTGTGTTAAATTGGCCAAATTACCAATTTCCGGTCACTTTATTTTGTAGTTGAAACAGTTGACTTGGCGATTTCTTGTGCTCAATCGATAGAATAGAAGTAATACTAGTGAAATAGCTGAGAATTTGGTCGACTGGAATAATGTAATTGGCCTAAAATGGGAGTCAAAGTCGGCAAAATCGCCGATTTGTAAATATCGCTGACACATCAAAATTCACGAGAGCATAATTTCGTCAATTTTCCATCAAATTTCGTACTTTTTGTTTTATTACATTCACAAAAAGATTCTCTACCATTTCATAAGAAAAAATAACAATTTTTTTTTTTTGAAAATTCTTGGACACTGGGGCACCACTTCAGATTTTGGCCTTGGACCCTGAAAGGGTTAATAGTGTGGAAATTGGGACAAGATGTGGAGTTACTAAAAGTATTAGTCAGAGGGCTGAAGAGGGGCTGTTAAGGTGGTTTGGTCATTTAGAGAGAATGGAACAAAGTAGAATGACTTGGAGAGCATATAAATATGTTGGGGAAGGAAGGTGAGGTAGGGGTCATCCCCGAAAAGGTTGGAGGGAGGAGGTAAAGGAGGATTCGTGGACTTTCAGCAAGTGTGCATGAGCATGTGAGATTGGAGTGAATTGAGACGAATGGTTTTTGAGACCTGACAAGCTGTTGGAGTGTGAGCAGGATAATATTTTGTGAAGGGATTTATGGAAACTGGTTAGCCGGACTCGAGTCCTGGAAATGGGAAGTACATTGCCTGCACTTTAACCCCTAAACGGTCCAAACGTATATATACGTCCACTCGCGTAGCGCCCCAAATTTTTTGAGAAAAAAATTGTTTTTTTAATAGGAAAAACGAGCATGTGGTACCCAGGCATCCCCAATTACTTTAATATGGCGCACAGTGAGTGCGCACACCCATTCTCTCATGTCTAGGCGACTCAGGCTTATCATGGCAATGATGAATGAATGACAAAGAAAACGTATATATACGCTTGGGGCGCTATGCACGAGAACGTATATATACGTTTGGACTGTTTAGGGGTTAAAGGAGGGGTTTAGAATATTGGCAGTTTGGAGAGATGTCGTATTTGAGCGCCTCTGCAAAGACAGTGATTATGAATGAGTAACAGCTAAGTGTTGAATGGTGATCAAAGATTTTTTTCTTTCTTTTTGGGTCACCCTGCTTCAGTGGGAAATGGCCAGTGTCAAAAAAAAATTATAACTCTTTTGAAACAGTTCACTATCTCTTGCAAGTGCCTGATTAGCTCTGTGGGCCTACAGGGAGCTAGAATCAACAGCCTGGTTGAACAGGTGGTCAACAAGGAAGCCTAGCTTAGGCTGGATTGAGAGTATAGAATGTTCATAACTGATCACAAGTGAAGTTTTTCTCATTTCATTAATGCAGGATGCAACATGCAATCAGATTTCCATAGACGAAATGGTTCTGTCAGTGAGAGAATATGAGAAAACAAAGTCATACACAACCAAGAAAATGACAGCTTGGTTTATAAGAACTTTAAAAACAAGAGATACTACAACAAAGATAGTATGCTGACAGCTCTATTCAAAGTGAGCTATCCAAGCTAGAAAAAAATTATATACTTTATGGTCTGCACTGAGATCATTACACATCAAGTATATTGGAAGTGCCTTGTGGTACTGTACTTTCTAGAAGAGACAGTTAGACACAATTTATTGTCTATTCATGAAAATACTTTAATGCTAGGTCACTAAACTACTATAAGAACTTGCTGGAGTGAAAAATATGAGAGGAGATGTACAATAAGCCCAATGAGTACTTACCAATTAATTCCTCTGAATAATTTGCATATGTCGTCCCTGGTGCTTCTGTCCTTCAGTGTTGTTAGAATCAATTCTGTTAAACTCTCCTCGTAGCTCAGTGCAATGCAAGAATGCTATAGTACATTTAGAGAAAACTGTGTCAGTATCTCAAGCTCATAACTTTTGAACCTTCTACCTGCTGATATAAAATATTACTGGAACAAAAGCATACATCTTCAACAGATATGTGAGCAAGTTCCTGGATTAGTAAGGTTTCCATGGAAAAACAGGCCTGCAGGCCACATGTAAAATAAAAGTGTGTAACTAATCATGTGGTTACCTGGAAAGTCCTACGACTCATGCTGAACTGGGAGACTAGAATAAGTCCCAGAACTGGTCACACAATAGAAAGGAATAATTATGAACAAGCTTGTTATTTTACAATTCCCAAAGTAACTTAAAATACACTACTAAAATATATGAATAAACTTGATTTACCGAACAATTCTTATATGCTCAAGATTCAGGTGAAAATTAGAGACAATGTACTAATGATTCATTTCTTCACTAGAGCCAGAGATTAACATACAACTTATTAGATCAGGAAAATGTGGGACATCTTTCTAACGTTCATGAACTCTTGAGTGTTTTATAAGAGATGATCGTTCGGAAAATTCTTTTACACACACTAAACACTGATATATTTTCTCTCGAGTATGAATATTCATGTGTTTTATTAGATTAGCATTAAGGGAAAAGTTCTTGAGACACACTGAACACTGGTATGGTTTCTCTCCTGTATGAACTCTCATATGCCTTACTAGACTTGACTTTTCTCCAAAGCTTTTTATACACTCTGGACACTGATAAGGCTTCTCACCTGTATGGATTTTCAGATGCATTATTAAATGTGATTTTTGGGCAAATTTCTTTTGGCACACTGAACACTGATGTGGTTTCTCTCCTGTATGACTTCTCATATGTATTACTAGACTAGACTTCTCAGCAAAGTTTTTCAGACACACTGAACAGTGATATGGTTTCTGTCCTGTATGAGCTCTCATGTGTTTTACTAGATTTGAGTTGTGTGAAAATCCTTTTAAACATTCTGAACACTGGTATGGTTTATCACCTGTATGAACTCTCATATGGCTTACCAAAGCATTGTTATCTTTAAAATCCTTTACACATACTGAACATTTATATGGTTTAACTGCTGTATGAACTGTCATATGTCTTATCAGAGTTGAATTTTTCTTAAAACTTTTTAGACACTCAGAACACTGAAAAGGTTTTTCTAATGTATGAACTTTCATGTGCATTAATAAATGAGATTTCTGATTGAAGTCTTTTAGACACTCAGAACAATGGAATGGCTTCTCTCCAGTATGTAGTCTCATGTGTTGTGATAGAGTTGAATTTTGTGAAAAGGTTTTAAGACATACAGAGCATTCATATGGTTTTTCTCCTGTATGAACTCTCATATGTATTACTAAAGCTGATTTATCTGAAAATTCTTTTTGACACTCTGAACACTGAAATGGCTTCTCTCCCGTATGAATACGCATATGTTGTAAGAGATTCGATTTATATGAAAAATCTTTTAAACATTCTGAACACTTGTATGGTTTCTCTCCTGTATGAACTCTCATATGTTGAGACAGACTTGAACTCTGTGTAAACTCTTTTGTACAAACTGAACATTTATATGGTTTCTCTCCTGTATGAATTTTCATATGTTTTACCAGAACTGAATTATCAGAAAAATCTTTCTGACACACTGAACAATGATATGGCTTCTCTCCTGTATGAATTCTCATGTGCTTCACTAGATTTGAACTTCTTGAAAAGTCTTTTAGACACATTGAACATTGAAATGGTCTTTCTCCTGTATGAATACGCATGTGATTTACAAGATCTGAACTTCGTATAAAATCTTTTGGGCACACTGAACAATGAAAAGATCTGACTCCTGTATGAGCTCTCAGGTGTCTTATCAGAGATGATTTCTGAATAAAGTCTTTTGGACACATTGAACACTGAAATGGTCTTTCTCCTGTATGAACCCTCATGTGATTTACAAGTTCCGAATTTCGAAAAAACTCCTTTGAGCACACTGAACACTTATGAGCTTTCTCTCTTGAATGAACACTCATCGTTTCACCTGTTTGGAATTTTATAATATTTTTTAAGGGAAATATTTTAAACACTGAATCTGGATATATGTTTCCCTCTGCATAAATTTCCTCTTGTTTTACTAAAAATGATTTTTCAAAAAGTTATTTTGATACAGAACTATTACATACAGTACTTTCTTACCCTATGATTTCCCATAATTTATATCACAAGAAAGCAATCATTTAAATTATTATTTCTAAATATTTAATGTGTTAATGTTGCAGTTTTATAAACTGTAGTGTAAAACACCCTTCTGGCAAGACAGTGATGGAGTGAATGATGGTGAAAGTTTTTCTTTTTCGGGCCACCCTGCCTTGGTGGAAATCGGCCAGTGTGTTAATAATAAAAAAAATAATAATTTTTCCTTTTCTACAGTATTAACTCTCAAATGTTTTAATGGATGAAATTATTTTCTACCCTCTACTTCAACAGGTAAACACTGATACAGTTTCTCTTTGATATCAACTCTGTTTTTTTTTTTTTCAATTTGACCCACTAAAATTTATTTAGATTTAAAAATTTAGAATAGTTTCTCCCCTTCATGAGCTCTCACGTGCATTACTAGCAGAAACTTAGTTAAAGCTTTTAATACACAATGACAATTGCCGAGGGTCCTCTTTCTTTTCATAACTGTTTTATCGTGTGAACAAGTAACTTTGTTCTTAAACTTTTACTGGAACATATATGAAATATTAACAACAATGATCATTGTACTTTACATGAGAGCAATAAATACAGCATTTACAGTGTATATTTTACTCCTAATCTTAATATAATAAGATACATTGGAATGTGGTGTTGGTGAGAAAGTACTTTCAATACAGACACTATTTTCTCCTACAGGAAGGCTTATGTGATGCACTCAACTTTTACATAAATAATTAGACCAAAAATACTCAAATAGCATCAATGATGGACACTAAACCATATCCTTAACTGAAATAAATATACTGTTAAAAATTATACTGAGTTTGGCACTAAAAAGAAATTACCATGGCAGTAAGAGCACTAAAAATGTTCATTTATATAATTTATTTGCTTAAGTATTTATTTCTGACATGTACTGTACTGATATTCAATTTGCACAGTCAAGAAATTTAACGAAATAACTGACTTAACTTTTATTGTTCATATTATTTCTGCTTTGATTACAGTAAATAAGAGAGGTAAGCTTCATCAGTTTAAAAGGGAATACTCATTTAAAACTAAGAGTTTTTAATAAGAATGACACAACTTTAGATCTAGAAACAGACATGAAAGACAATTTTTTTTATATTACTATATATAAAAAAATTGTGAGAAACCAGGTCAACACTGTATCTTACTTTCACTGCACATCTTACTACCTCAGTGTTGACGTCAGACTGGGACGGGTTTTTCAAAATATACCAATGGCATTTATTACTTGTAACACACACTATGGTCATTAATACTCAAGTCTTTATACTACTGAATAATATTTTCATGCAAATTTCCCTTAATATCAATGTGAACATTATTCCATTCGTAGATCCATGAAGTGCTTAAAATTATTTGCTATAATACAAAATAAGTGTGCAAATTACAATATATATACTGCAGGTAAGTGCTGCAATTTTGCAGTGACTTCAGGATGAAGTAATTCTGACACAGGTGCTTCATGACACTGCTGGCACTTTATTTCTGCATTATTTCTGCCACTTCCAGGAGCTTCATGGTACTTGCTGCTGCCACTGTCAGAATTTTTTTTTTCCTACTATAAACATTAGCTGCAAGAAACAAAGAAGTAAAAATTACTTGAGCTTAGATAATGTGATACAGGGTATATATATATATATATATATATATATATATTTTTATTATCACACTGGCCGATTCCCACCAAGGCAGGGTGGCCCGAAAAAGAAACACTTTCACCATCATTCACTCCATCACTGTCTTGCCAGAAGGGTGCTTTACACTACAGTTTTTAAACTGCAACATTAACACCCCTCCTTCAGAGTGCAGGCACTGTACTTCCCATCTCCAGGACTCAAGTCTGGCCTGCCGGTTTCCCTGAACCCCTTCATAAATGTTTCTTTGCTCACACTCCAACAGCACATCAAGTATTAAAAACCATTTGTCTCCATTCACTCCTATCATACACGCTCACGCATGCCTGCTGGAAGTCCAAGCCCCTCGCACACAAAACCTCCTTTACCCCCTCCCTCCAACCTTTCCTAGGCCGACCCCTACCCCGCCTTCCTTCCACTACAGACTGATACACTCTTGAAGTTATTCTGTTTCGCTCCATTCTCTCCACATGTCCGAACCACCTCAACAACCCTTCCTCAGCCCTCTGGACAACAGTTTTGGTAATCCCGCACCTCCTCCTAACTTCCAAACTACGAATTCTCTGCATTATATTCACACCACACATTGCCCCAGACATGACATCTCCACTGCCTCCAGCCTTCTCCTCGCTGCAACATTTATCACCCATGCTTCACACCCATATAAGAGCGTTGGTAAAACTATACTCTCATACATTCCCCTCTTTGCCTCCAAGGACAAAGTTCTTTGTCTCCACAGACTCCTAAGTGCACCACTCACCCTTTTCCCCTCATCAATTCTATGATTCACCTCATCTTTCATAGACCCATCTGCTGACACGTCCACTCCCAAATATCTGAATACATTCACCTCCTCCATACTCTCTCCCTCCAATCTGATATCCAATCTTTCATCACCTAATCTTTTTGTTATCCTCATAACCTTACTCTTTCCTGTATTCACTTTTAATTTTCTTTTTTTGCACACCCTACCAAATTCATCCACCAATCTCAGCAACTTCTCTTCAGAATCTCCCAAGAGCAGTGTCATCAGCAAAGAGCAACTGTGACAACTCCCACTTTATGTGTGATTCTTTATCTTTTAACTCCACGCCTCTTGCCAAGACCATCGCATTTATTTCTCTTACAACCCCATCTATAAATATATTAAACAACCACGGTGACATCACACATCCTTGTCTAAGGCCTACTTTTACTAGGAAATAATTTCCCTCTTTCCTACATACTCTAACTTGAGCCTCACTATCCTCGTAAAAACTCTTCACTGCTTTCAGTAACCTACCTCCTACACCATACATCTGCAACATCTGCCACATTGCCCCCCTATCCACCCTGTCATACGCCTTTTCCAAATCCATAAATGCCACAAAGACCTCTTTAGCCTTATCTAAATACTGTTCACTTATATGTTTCACTGTAAACACCTGGTCCACACACCCCCTGCCTTTCCTAAAGCCTCCTTGTTCATCTGCTATCCTATTCTCCGTCTTACTCTTAATTCTTTCAATAATAACTCTACCATACACTTTACCAGGTATACTCAACAGACTTATCCCCCTATAATTTTTGCACTCTCTTTTGTCCCCTTTGCCTTTATACAAAGGAACTATGCATGCTCTCTGCCAATCCCTAGGTACCTTACCCTATTCCATACATTTGTTAAATAATTGCACCAACCACTCCAAAACGTCTACAATAAAAATACCCAGATTTTGAACATGTGTCTCAGTTTTTATCATGTCGTTACTGTATACCCTTCTTGTACAACTTGTCAGACACTGCAACATCATGGAATCTTGGTTCAGAGAATATCAATATGACCTTCTTCATGGCTACTACAACTACTACTACAACTTACCCATCCCTTTGGGTATGACCTACTTCCACTGGGGAATCCTGCCTACCAGTGACTATGCCCTCATCTGCTACCTGCCCCACTCCACCTAAGATTAGTACGTATACAAGTGCCAGCCTCCTTGCCTCTGCTCCAGAATCTTCATGACTACGGTGCTCTTCACACCAACTCCAAGGCTGAGGGACTGATTATCTCATCTTTGTATACAGTTCTACTGTCCTCAAATTATGTCCTAGAATATGTATTGATGAAGCCACTGGATGGCGAAACGTCTACAATAAAGATACCCAGATGTTGCACACGCATCTCGGTTCTCATCTTGTCGGTATTGTATATCATTCTTTTACAATATCAAAGATGGTTGACACAAACCCACCACAATTATAGTATGCTCCACACTTAGCAACGAATTTGCTACTGATGTGGTCTTGGCAACGGAACTCTGTCATTAAGTGAGGAAAGGCTGTATAATGCAGAGAATCTGAAGTTTAGAAATTAGGAGGAGGTGGGGGGTTACTAAAACTATTATCCAGAGGCCTGAGGAGGGATTATTGAGGTGATTCAGACATTTAGAGAGGATGGAATGAAATGGAATGACATGGAGAGCATATCTGTAGTGGAAGAGGGGTAGGAGTGGGCCTAGGAAAGGTTGGAGGGAGGGGTAAAGGATGTTTTGTATGCGAGGGGCTTGGAATTCTAGCAAGTATGTGTGACTGTGTTAGATAGGAGTGAGTAGAGACGAATGGTTTTTTTATGGCTTGACGTCCTGTTGGAGTGTGAGCAAAGTAACATTTATGAAGGGATTCAGGGAAAACCGGCAGGCAAAACTTGAGTCCTTGAGGTGGAATTACAGTGCCTGTGCTCTGAAGGAGGGGTGTTGATGTTGCAGTTTTTTAACGGTAGTGTAGGCGTACCTCTGGCAAGGTGGGTCACAACCACTAGCACCATCACACCCACCCTCTACCACAATCACTACCAGCCTCTACCACCATCACAACCACTACCACTCTACCACAATCACTACCATCACCACCACTACCACCATCACTACCACCCTCTACCACCATCACAACCACTACCACCCTCTACCACCATCACAACCACTACCACCCTCTACCACCATCACTACCACCCTCTACCACTATCACTACCACCACCACTCTTGTATACTTTGCTACAATTTCTTTCTTAAATTCCATTGTGTTTTTCTCACTTCATTTACCAAAGGAATTTTACTAGGAACTTTCTTTGGAGCCATGGTTACTTATTTCACAGTTGCACTTAATAAATAACCATCAAAAACAATGGAATACAGTGGACCCCCGCTTAACGATCACCTCCCAATGCGACCAATTATGTAAGTGTATTTATGTAAGTGCGTTTGTACATGTATGTTTGGGGGTCTGAAATGGACTAATCTACTTCACAATATTCCTTTTGGGAACAAATTCGGTCAGTACTGGCACCTGAACATACTTCTGGAATGAAAAAATATCGTTAACCGGGGGTCCACTGTATAGTGAAATGTTTGGATGAATGGGCAAAAGCTTCCTCACTCACCCAGAGACAAAGCCAGACTGAAGCGCGAGCGGTTGGCAGCGGTGGGTTGATGAGTCCCATACAACCGATAAGCAAAATAACAGCCGATAACTGGAAGCCGAAAAGCCGACCGATAACCAAGTTGGCTGATAAGCGGAATGGCCGATAACCGTGGGTCCACTGTATATATGATATAGCATGCAATGAAAGTAGTTTCTCAGATTATGTATTGGTGGATAAATGGTTGATGAGTAGGCTTCAGGATGTGCATGTTTATAGAGGGGCAACAGATATATCAGATCATTATTTAGCTGTAGCTACAGTTATAGTAAGAGGTAAATGGAGCAAAAAGAAAATGGCAACAACAATTAACCCCTTGACTGTCGCAACCCCCAATCCTGAGGTGTCTCCTGGTGTCGCAAAATTTCCCCCCCCAAAAAAAAATTATTTTTTCTTATGATAGAGAACCTTTTCCCGATTGTAATGACACCAAGAAAACAAAATTTGATGGAAAACTGATGAAATTACACTCTCGCAAAGTTAGCGACCTAAGCAATATTTACAAATCGACAATTTCGCCTACTTTGAGCCCTATTTTTGGCCAATTCCATTGTTCCAGTCAGCCAAACTCATAGCTATTTCTTTAGAACTCCATTTTTTATATCAATTGAGTACAAGAAACTGCCCATTTACCGATTTCAACTACCCAATAACGTGGTCAGAAATTTGCAATTTGGCCAATTTCACAAAAATTAAAAAATATGACAATTTCAAAATAAGGTCCAGAATGAACAATGCAGACATTCCTGGCTCTAAAATAACATTTTCTTTGTTCATCAGTCATGTCTCCAGGCCCCTCTGATATTACTCTTGCTTTCTATTTTGAATTTTTATTCAAACAAAAAATAGAAGATTTACTGTTATGCAGACTACTGCAATACTGTAATAATTGTACAAATAATATCAACCCATTCATGACTGCATATTAGAATGGCTACTTGGACATTTATTGACAATGACATCATTTGTATACTTTTGAACATCAGCAAAAATCAAACATTTCCCCTACTTTGAGCTCCATTTCCAGGTTCTTTTTATAGTAAAATCAACCAAAATCACCTTTATTTCTAAAATATGTTTTCCATTCTATCAAGTGAGACCAAGAAAACGAGAATACAACCATAAATACTATACAAAAATAGACCACAAATTCAGTATTTTAAATAAAAAAAACTGAGTTTTTTTTTTCTCATTATGCACTGCGTGCTCCAGGATTTCTTTTATACAGTGCACACTGACCATGCAGACCCATTCTCTCACATGTGGGCCTACCAGCTTTCTCCTGCTTGATTTGAAGCCGCTAGAATTTATGAGTACATGTATATATATGTCAAACATGGTACCTCGTAAGACGGATATATACGACCAAAACAGTCAAAGGGTTAAGAAAGCCTAGGAACGAATGGATTTGACAGCTAAAAACAGAATAGGGGAGTTGCCTGATATCACAGCTTAACAGCAGAGAAAGGCGAGTGTGAGGGAA